TGCACACACACACAGAGAGCAAAATAATGTACATATACACATGCACAATACATATGTGTACAGAAAGCATCTAAATATAGTTTTAAAATTGAAAACTAAATAATTACACAGTATAAGCCACCTTTCTATGCCTCCAAAATGAAAATTACAGTTTTCTTCTCCATGTTTCCTTATATAACACTTATCTAGCTTGGCTTCTCTGCCATACCCCAATCACTACTATTTAGCTACGAATGCATGAATCTCACATTTTTATTCTAAATTCGAGTTCACTCATCATATCTAATGCCCTCGAAGCAATCTCAAATTACTGTTATTACACGGGTCACTAGAAACCAGAGGCACCCATATAAATTTTAAAAGAAAGAGGAAAAAAAAAAGCCCCACACAATTAGATGCTGGCTTACGGTTTAATCAATTTGATTTTATCACTAAATCCAGTTCTTCCTCTTGAGCTGTCAGCGCACAAGATAAGCAGAGTGTGTCGGGGCTTGAGCCAGCAGTGTAGAAGGGCTGTGTCCCTCGCCAGCCGGGTGACAGCAGCATGGGTGATGCTGGCATTGCAGGGGACAGAGAGTCGCGCAGCCGCTCCACCCTCATCCAGGGCACAGTCTTTCTATTTCATTAATTTTTCATGGAATTTCATTTCACAACAAGCAGGCGTCTGCCATCCATCTGCTCGACTTATTCTGTCTCTTTTGCCAACTTTTATTTGCATTTCACAACGTTCAGCAACCTGCTTCTTCCCCACTACCTTCCCGTGATTCATCATTTCCCGTTTAGAGAGCTACCTTGTGTGGGTGCTCTCAACATTTATTTTCAGTTTTCTAAAACTCTGTAACCAATCCCCCTGGAATACTATCTAAATGTGAAGAGTTAACGTGTTTTGCTGTCAAATGCCTGAAAAAGGGGCATATCCCATTGCCAATGCTCAAATTCAACTGAACTGACTTACCCAATGATGGTTTACAAGCATTGCAAAGAGTTCCCCTAAGTTCCTTCCTCTTTCTGGTTTATGACTGATTGATACACCTCACTTAAAACTCCATCCTGCAATTTATCTTATGAAAATGGCTGAATTTGTATATGTTCTCAATCTATTTCCAAATAGGTTTGTCTTGAAAGAGACTTTAAGAAAAAATTCCCAAAACCTCAGTCATTTTACACACTATATGCAGTAACGGGTAGGATAATAGAAATATGTTATTTACAAAATGCTTCATGCCAGTGCATAACTTTGTGTGTGGGGGTGAATACCCTTATAAAAGGTAGAAAACTCCAGCTATGCCAAACAGAATATGTGCACTAGTTTGAGTAAAGTAGTAAATGAAAAGATATTTATGAGATTCCTTAAACATATTATCCTGACATTATCCCATGGCTCAGAGATTGATCAATTTTTAAGCTATTTGTTTTAATGTACTGCATTGTTTTTGGTGAGTTCTATTAAACCACCTGATTGAGCTGATACTATAATAATAATAATAATAAAACCTTCACCCTTTGCGTTTATTATTTGGTTTAAAATTTTTACTTTTATAATAGTCATACTTAGTTGTTTTCTAATACAAATAGATATTTTCTTATATAACCACATAACAGATTTGGTTGGGCAAAATCACCTTGCAAAATTCTACTAAGAATTAGGGGAAAAAAAGCATTTTCCCATATTCTCCGTGAGTAGTGAAGTCTGTTGGCATTTAGAGATGGCAGGAAATAGTCCCTACAAATTGCACGTGCTGCTATTATTTTCTAAAAGCCTCCAAATGAAATAGAAGCAAGATAAATTGATGTCTTTCATATGTTATGTAGGATGTGTGCTTTGCCATGTATGTAAACATAAGATATTCCCTGTCTTTCTTACACTTTTGTTGTTGTTGCTTGACTTTGTTCCAAATTTTTTAAAAATTGATATTTCTCATTTCTATAGAAAATTAAAAATACAAATCTTTTGCAAATAATTTCTAAGAAAAAAATCCAACTAAACAATGTCACAAGGAGAAAATGCAAAAGTGCACAGCTCTATGTCCGATAAAACAACAGAGTGGGACTGGCAGGTGGGGAGATTTATTCTGAGAATTTTCTTCAAAGTTTATCTGAGAAAGAAATTCAGGTTCTGCCAATGAATCCCTAAAAGTGACATTCTGTGATGGAGTTCTTCCCCTTACCACCTTTTTTTCCTTTCCTATTTTTTTTTTTTTTTTAGTTTTGAAGATACATACTAGTTCCTGTGTAGTGCAGTGACTAAAATCTACCTTGCAGAGGAAATGCTTCATTTCCAGAATGATGAGGGATTGTAATTAACAATAATGAAGGTGTGGTTTCATTCTCACACTTCAGCTGTGGCTAGAGTGTTTCGTTCAGAGTCTGCAAATAGATCTGACAATAGAAGGCATCTCATACTAAAGCCACTCAGAGTAGATGTAGAGAAAATGAAGAGCATCTTATGACACCGGGAAACTAAATGCTAGGATGCATCTTCAAAAATGACTCTTGTCTGTTAAAATAGGTGAAAATATAAATTTCATAAGCCAAAGGCCAACATATATCTAACTGTATTATTCACTTATGAAAAGCATACTTTGTACTTATAGTCAGCATCTTCAGTTAGTACAGCTTTACTAGAATTTTTTAACAGTCACCCATGAACTTGGGGAATTTAAATTGTAACCAAGACAGAGTTTAATTATTAGATAAGCTTAAAAATAGAGGCTATTTGGTTCAGGGAGAGTGAAGACGCATGACTATTAAGATAAGTTTAAGCTCACCATTGTTCCTCGTAGAACAGAAAAACAGGCATCTGTTATAGCTAGGAACCCCATATAAATTTGTGGTATGTTCTCAGAAAGATGTAAATACTTATTTAATGTGTCTCATAGTTTGTTATGTTATTTTTTTATTTGATCGTTGTACATTTGCAATTGTTAACTCCCCCCCCCCGCAAAGTGACTACTTAGCAATCTGACTTTCCAGCCATGATAGCTGTCAGTAGGTACCAGAGGAAAGGCAGCCCCATACTCGTCTCCTCATAATGTGAATTGGTATACTAAGCCTGATGACCCACCCCCTTCAACATTTGGCTGTAAAAAGTAAGAGACTTGGTCTTGTCAAAATTACTAAGGCAAAGAGCTTTTTGCTGTAAAAATTCTATTTTGAATTGTTGCAGTTAGGTTTACAGCAAATGAAGTCTTCCCTCAGGTTTCTTCTCTTTTTTCCCCCCACGATGAATATGAATGCTTTCTAAGTTAGTATGTCTGACATTTAATGGTAAGGCAAATGAATTTGAAGAAAGGTAACAATTTCCATTCAGCTTACATTTTTATAGGTTGCATTACTGGAAAATATTATTCTAGACTCTTGAATATTAAATATCTAAATGGACTTAGTAAAAAATACTGGGAAGCATGAACAAGTGTAAAGATTATGTTTCTTTTTATCTGTGTTCAAAGTTATATTCATTATGCAATCCTGTCATGTTCTAAATATCACTTTGTTAGCATTATCTTTAAAAGACACTAACATGTCAGTTTCAAAATATTTTCAAGTAACAATATGAATAGCAAGCATACATTTTAGTAACTTAAGAGTTAAGCTTATAATTACAAAATCACCCCTAAAACTGTAGCCTCTGAAACATTTTAAGGAACTCATCAGGCTGTATTTTCTCCCAGTTGTCCTGACGTGTGATCATAATTAATGACTGTTTGCTATTGACATTTATGTCTTCAAACTGACTGGCTAATTTCTACAATTGGAAGAAGTAATCAAGAACTTAGGGACTGTTGGAGAGCAGTTAGGAAACAATCTGACAGAAACTTATCTTAAGCCATTACAAAGATGAAAATTCTCCAGGGAGGATGTAGGATCACAACTACATTTAACAATGTGTTCTGCCATAGAAAACTGGAAAATCTGATACATGTGAGTTGTGTCTTTCCAGCTGTTCATTAGAGCTTTATATTCACTATTGTAAAAAAAAAAAAAAAGAAAAATCAACACATTTCAAATAATAAGACCTGAACTTTCTCCTATAATTGCAAACTCATAATAAGAAACTAACAATAATACAAGTTCCTTCCTGAGAAACAAGAGGCAACATTAGAATGCTCTTTGAATCCTTCTGTGGAATGGACTCAGTCTAAGATGGCATTTTAAAGACATTGCCTCTCATATTAGCAATCACTAATTTTATACAAAATTAGCCCTTGCGTGAAAGCCCTCGGCTTGTGATGACACTGACTAACTTCAGTGCAGCCGATCTCCAAGAATATCAGTAACAAGGCACAGCATGACAGATTGTCAGCAGCAACCTGTCACCCAGTTGCCTTTTCTCTTTTTTTTTTTCCTGGTGCTTGCAGGGTATTTCTCTGCTAACAAGACAGAATGCTTATTTCTTTGCATGTTTTAATTTCCGCATATTTCTCCAAGAAGGAGAGCCCTGTGCTCTTTGTACATCCCAGTGTTTACAAAATGACGGGACACCACACTAAGTAGAAACTAGCCGGCCAATTTGGGGGAGGCGATCGTCAGGGGCTGCCCATTCCTTTCTCTGAGACAATTTGGATGGGAAGAGCTGGCGAGAAGGTTCATTCCCTCGGTTTTAGGTTTTATGTATGTTGGCTTAAGTGAGTGTTTCCTTTGGCACCGTTTGATAATGTGGCCTCCAAGAGAGTCTAAAGCGGTGCCAGCCTCGGGTACGGAGAGGGCATGGTGGTACCTAGAAGAGGGGAACATCCTCCTGTCCAAGGATGGTTGCTCCTGGACCACAGCCCTCTTGTCAAAAATCTTTGGTTGAGCGGCTGCTGGCTCCCTGTCCCCTCTGAGCTTGAGGAAGCCCCCAGTCATTTACAAAAGGATCTGAACTCCCTGCGCCCTGATATGCGCGGGCATCCCACCAGCATCCTAAAGTGAAGCTGCTCAAAATAGACAAACCCCAGAGATAGCGGGAAGGACGAAGGGAGCCGGGAGAGTTGCGGCGAGCGCAGAACGAGCCTCCTTACCTTTCCTCTTGGACCTCCTCCGCCGCCGCCGCTTGGACTTGCATTTGAGTTGATTACTTAGCCCTCCAGACCCTCTGCCGCTCCCCAGGACGGATGCCATGGCTGAGACCCAGTCGGGAGAACGGGAGAGGAGCTCCTCCTTAAGCAATTTCACCTTTCTTTCTCCGGCTGTCGCCGCCGCCGCGGCGCTTCTGCCTCTGCAAATCCGAGAGCAGGATCACTTTTTAGGACCCAGAACTGAGCGCTCTCGCTACTTGTTCTCTGTCACTTGGTTCCAGCTGGGTGAGAGCTTCCGATGGGAGTCGGAGCGCGGAACCTCTCCTTGGGCAGGAAGCGCTGGGAAAGGTGCGCCCGCAGGTCCTGAGCGCCCCGGAGCTCTCCTCGGGCTGCCTCTTCATCTGGGCTCCCAACGCAGGGCTGCCACTTTTGCACCTCTGCTAGTTGTTTGGCACCAGCCACTTTGAAGCCAATCACGCAGGGAGCTTGTCTATTTGCTGCTGCAAAGTCTAATTAGATCCAATCACAACTGTCTCCTCGCTCTGACATCAGCAGCACCAGCCCCTCCGCCCCTGGCAGCTTGCAAACTCAGCTCCCATTTGGACGGATGGTGCTGCCCAGGACCTGGTAGAAGGAGAGAGGCTGCTCAGAGGGACACACAGCACAGGGCTGGTTTATCTGGGAGAAGCCTAAGGGGCGGTTTACTGGAGGGACCCTATCCTGGGATGACCAGGCTTCTTACTGCAGTCACTTGGACGGCTCCCTCTGCTCAGAAAGAGGCAGAGACGTTTCTCTGACCCAATAGTTTCTAACTAGTTAATTCATTATAATGCTTGTTGTGTCGAGGGGGAAATAACTCAGAAATACGGAGACCTCACTTCCTCTGAAAGGGGTTGAGATTTGCAATTCCCCAGGAGACAATCTCTTTAGGGATATTTATTTCTCAGAGACTGCATTTCTCTGTTTGCTAGTTTGGTTTGTTTATTGTCCCCCTCTCCCACCCCGCTTCATACCCCTGGGCTGTTCCCTTTGCAAAAGAAAAATACTGTGTAAAGACAGAGGTGTTAAGATCTGAGTCTGAATTTTACAGAGAGCGATTGATTTCATGTGTTGCTTTATTTAGGGAACAATGACATGAAAAGCAGACAGTGCTCTCATCGGATAGAGTTTTATTGCCAAATGTGACATTTGGATGAAAGAAAGTAGCATTTACCAGGAGGTGGATTGCAAATTGAAATAGCTTTATACAATTTATTTATTTATTTCAGGGATATCCTGGATTTCAAGACTATACCCAGGGAACCATAAGTCTCTAACATAAAATATAAGAAGGAATATAATCCAGCAATCATCATTGCATCATATTTAAATCACATGAGCTATTAGTTACAATAATGATAGTTTGAAAACCATGCACTCCAAAATTCATTAGCTTGCATAATCCTGTTGATATGAATGGCACACAAATATTTATAATGTATACTGCTTTGTACAGTCTTTATAGGCCTAAACCTTTCCATGTAACTTTCCTTATAAAAAAAAATAATTCCTCCGAGGAACATTGGAAATAATTAGCATACTCATGTGTTGTTATGTGGTGAGCTGACAGATCATAGCTCAGTTTTCACCAAAGAGAGGAGAGAGAGAGAGAGAGAGAGAGAGAGAGAGAGAGAGAGAGAGAGAGAGAGAGAGAGATATTTGATTTTAAATACTGACTCTACTGCTATGATTTGGGGCAAGTTATTTAAACTATTCCTCAGGCTCCTCATCTGTAGAATGAGATTTAAAGCAGCACCAACTTCATAGGTTCATTCATACTTTTGAATAAGTAGAAACAGTAACTGGTATGTGTTAATTACTCCATAATTTTTTAGAAGTTGATTTAGCAAGTGATTTTGAAAGAATCTTACAGGTAGGCTTTAGAGATGTAGGGTTTGTTGGTATGTTTTTCTTTTAGAAGGTTCTAATGTCTAGCTCATTGTAGGCCAATGACTTCAATCAGACCTACATCCTCTTTTGCACTTCATTCAACTCTTTCATCCCACTGCAATACAACTTACTACTGCTGGTAATTTCTAGTGAATGTTGAAAAAGTATATAGCTTGCCCACTTAACCTACACTATGAAGAATATAATGTTTAAATATACCCAGAAATGCAGCTGTGGGACTCTGCCCTGGAAACTTCTGAGCTCTGTACGGTATGCCTGCACTAATCCAGGGCTGCCCTACTTAGGTGTCTGCTTGAAACTCACCACGGTGTTGAGTCACCAAAGGAAGATGTTTCAGAGAATACCGCAAGATTGGAATTATTAATGGCCCTCTCATGTCCCCATCATCACCCAAAGCAGAGTTGCTGCCTCTGAGATGCGTACATATCGACCTTTGTTTTATTAAGACAGTAGAGAGGGTAGGCAGAAAACAGAATGGCTGAGTAATATTTTCCTTCTGATTTTAGTGGGAAGGGGAATAAAACTGAAACCTGTATTTTGATGCTTGGTTTAGATCCTGATTTAAAAGTTAGTTACGGCCAAAGTCAACAAATCTTCACTTTTCTCGAAGTTTCTAAATTTGTTTATTTGCATGCAATTTATGAAAATTTTATTTTAGCAGAAATATGTGGGTTTTTTTCTTCCTTTTATTTATTATGTTTGTGATAATGCAATTGCTTGAGATGATACAAGAATGAGGGTAGGGTGACAAAAATGTGCATCTCTCACCCCGGGAGCAGAGGCTTTTAAAGACATGGTTCACAATGACACATTTTTATACTCAAACATGGTTCCTAATAGGTTTCGTTTTGGTGTCGCAGACAGGGCTTAGAATGAGCAATGTTGATCATCTGCCATGCTTCTGATGAGCCTTTTTGCTTTTTTGTCTGTTCCCTAGACCACTTCGGCACAGCTTGGCAGCCTGAAATGATGAACAGCAGTTGGACAAGGCATTAGGATCAGAAGCCAATATCACCCTGTTGCCCATCAGGAGATGTCGCTGATGTGTCCTAGACTGGTTTGAGCTCAGGCCCTGTTCTTCCCACAGAACAAAGAACTAGCAGTGAGGCTCCAAGGAGCCACTGGGCTGTCCAAAAAGCCAACTGCAGCCCAGTGTGAACCCATCAGCTAGAAAGCTGGATGAGGGATAGAAACTAGCCTTCAACTGGGCTGGAGGGACAGCGCTGTCTCTGCAGTTTGTCATTATACCCAACTGACACATTGGGTGACACTAGGAAGGGGTGTTTACAACAAAATCCAGGTTGGGTCTTCATGGTTGGGAGCATACCATGATATCCACCATTGTTCTTATCAGACTTGGAATAGTCCAGCAACTTTCTATGATGCTTTTGCTTATTTCTTTAATCTCTATCCTACACCAGCCCAGACCAGGTTTTTTTTCCCCTCACCACTACACAGACGCTGAGCCTGGGGCATGAGTGCTTTCCAAGGTACCTCATAATATCTACCCCAGTGCCTGTTCTGCTCCAAGTACATCACAAAATTCAAGTATGGCAGTGATTCTCATTTAATTTCCACAAAACCTCTATGAGAGCAGAACTGAAATGATACTGATTTTGGAGATGAGAAGGCTGAGGCTCAGAGAACTTAAGTAACTTCCTAAAAGTCACATGGACTATGAGTCAGGATTCACACTCAGGCCATTCTAACTTTACAGCATGGAAGGCATATCACTGTGCTTCACAGATTTTTATTCTAGAGCCTGAAATTAGCTAATTATATGAGTTTCTACAAGCCTTTATGAGATAGAGGAAAATAGTTTGAATGGTGACCCAGTGCTTCAGTAAGTTTATATATGTGTATATATTAAAAATTATATAAAATATAGAAATCGTGTGTGTATATATATATATATATATATATATATATTCATTCACATAGCTTTAACTTCCACTATAACTGAATGCAACAATAGCTATGTCCCTTACCTGTATTCTAATGCTTAAGCACACAGAGTTATCTTTCTTTTCTCAAGATGTGTTTACAACATGGCCCCCCTAACCCTGCTGAGGTCACCCAAGCTCTGAGTGCTTAAGTCTAAACTCATGGTGCATTGAGAGATTGTGGCAGAACCATGCTTGAATAGAAGGCTCCAATGTAGTCCAAAAAGAATACTTACAAGAAATTCTGTTAACTCCATAGACTCACCTGAACTTTTATTTCTGCAAATGAGAGACCTGAGGTCCAAACACCAAGGGGCATATCCACGTAGACTGAAGGAACATTTTAACCCTAATTCCAATTGTATTCCTTTTCTAGAGGGCTTTCATTTGGACTCCTTGGTTTGTCCAAAACTATGCACTTACTCTTTAGAGTCCTAGTGGCTCGTATCAACTCACAATGACTTCAGTACTTAATTCATTATAAAATCTGCATTTCAAAAAGGCTAGCTTACATGTATGGCTAACTTGGTTTCTTGTTGATTCCTGAAAGCAAACAATAACACTGACTGACATAAACATCATTTATTTAGAATCAGAATTTTGGTTAATATTTCCTGCACCCATCAAATCACTTTACTAGGTGGGAAATAGCACAGCTAAATTGTCCCTAAAGATATTCATGTTTGCTGACTCACTGTATCATCGCATATGGCATTAAGTTATTACTTTTTACAAATAAAGGAATAGTATAAGAGAGCTTTTTTACTCTTTCATCTTCAGCCATTGTTTTTAAATTTAAATAACTCACATCAAAGAACTTGGATATGAGACCTGAAGTATTGCAAAATGGTATCTTGAGATAATGTCTACAATATCAAATGCATTCTCATTCACATTCTCATGGAAGGGTATGGAAGAAGGCTGGTGAGCAGGGTGGGACAATGGAGAGGTCCTGGGGAGCAGAGAAGAGTCTCAAATGTGAAAATGCTCTTTGCAATGCTCTCACTAAAATTATTTTTCCCTTTGTTCTCCTGTTTTTTCTCCCAGGCATGCTTATGGTTGGAGAACACCAAATGTATACTTAGCACAGTGTGACGAGATTTGCAAAATGTGTTTTTCCGAGTTCCATAGATGCTGATCAAGGCCACACAACTACCAGAGAAAAGAGATCCTGTGTAAAGTAATCTGGGCATGCAGGGATTTTATGGGCGAATATTACACAGATTTTAATTTCCTTGTGTATATTTTCATCCCTGAGAGAGAACTTACTTGAATGCTGTGTTAATATTTAAAAGGACAGTAGTTAGAAGACACAAATACATTTATAATCACAAACTCAGATTTCAAATGCGCGTTCTGTCAGTCCTATATC